TTGTCATTTAAATATTTAATTACCGTTAGAGTATTTTTAATTTAAATATTTAAAATGATATCGACTATAGTGGCTCAACCAATTCTAACTATGTAAAACGAATAATACGCCATGCTCCCCAGCTAGCTTAGTAGTACTCGGGAGAGTTTACATGTTCTCTTCAGGTAGTACTGAACTAGACCCGGGAGAATTTACATGTTCCCGTCAGGTAGTATTGGACTAAACCCGGGAGAGTTTACCATCGGGAGAGTTTACATGTCATTAAAATCGGGAGAGTTTACAATCGCCCATTTTAAACTAGATACAGATAGATTAACATTTAAATACAATTTTTTTCAGGTGTCAGCCCTTAAACTATGGTACGGTATGACATTGAAAGAAGTGATAGACAAACCCAGAATTTACCATCAACTTATTCCTATGGAAGTTCAATATGAATATGGAACGTTAAAGGTTGTTATAAAAACAATGCAATAAAAGATAATATTTGACAAAACATTTTTTTCATTTATCAATGATCATATATACATGTTTTGATTTTTAGTCTGTTGTACAAAAACTTAAAGATATTGGTCATCCAGTAACTAGGTTGAAGAATACCATAGGTTCAGCAGCGACAGCAATTGCCAAATCACCCTTAGGAATGATCGAAACCATGCCAGATTTCAGGCGACCAGGAAATTCATCCGGATATTAACAGGAAAATATCATGTTGATAATAAATTACGATTAATAAATTGTTGTTGTAAAGTGTACCTTGTAAGTTCCTAAAACGATTATAACGGTTCTACTACGAACGACTTGCAGTGAATAATATGTATTAATGTGCAATATATTATACAACCGTGTTATAACTTTTTTTTAGGTAATATTGTCCGCAAGTTCTAATTTTTCWTATAAAATGTACAGTATATAGGTAGGTATAAATATTTATGTACCTATGGTAATTATTTTGATGAAAATATGAGGTATATTTAATGTGTATAATCATTCAAATAATTTTAACTTAACATAATATATTATTTCAACTTTAAACATAATTGCTTATTGTTTAGCTGGTAATGATGTTAGCAWTGAACACTATCGTGTTAAAGTGTTGGTAACATAAATTATGTTGACGGATTGGTATACAATAACTATTGAGATAAAAGATAATTTGATAATTTAAGTTCTCCTCAATTGTGATCAAACCCCTGTATAAAATCTAGTTAATGATGTTAATTATTTGTACTTTATAAAAACAATTGTATGTTACACCAATAAGTTTATTTTTTGTAATTATTGTTAACATAATATTTATTTTAAATCATTATATTGTTTTAAGAAATGTAATATTATAAGAGTTTTATTTAAAATAATTTCATGTTTTCACGTTATCGTTCGAAGAAATGTGGCAGTAACCTCAGTCTGTTTGTATATATGGTTTTCAGATACCTGCACTTATAAATTTATAAAATACGGAGATATAATTTGTGACAATATTAGCCAGACCCAAATATTTAGCTCAACATATAATATTACTTAAGGGCTTCGGAGTCGGTGTATATTTAGTACGAAAACATATCTTACGGGGTGGCTTGGTGAAGCATGGTCGTACGCTCAATCTGTTTAAACACACTGAGCGTACGTACCCACCGAAGTTGCTAGCTTTCAGATGGATGACCAACCGGGGTTTTTAGCAACATATCGTTGCCACACATACATAAATGCGTATTATAACCATATCAAATTATAAACCTACAAACAAATATACAAAAAAATAACCTCTACCGTACCACTCCACACCGAATGGCCTATGTTTCCTTGGGTTACCCTAAATAAATAAAATAAATATCTTACAAGAAATACCTTCACGCCATGTAGAATATCCGAACTTTGGTAATTTATTTTTATTTAAAACAAGAGAACATTTTGTAGATCTGATCAAAGCTTGTTTTTCAAAATTATAGAGCTAAATATGCGTTATTTTAACAGTGTATAGTATTTTGTTTTTAGCACTATTTAAATTAAAACATGGGATTTTATCTGAWCTCAAAATAATTCTCATATTTCAAATAAAAAAAAAATAATATATTAAAGGGATCGGTAGCGGATAGATAGTTTAGTCAAAACATAACAATATTTTGTCCATTGTACATTTGTACATATTGAATTCGTAATGATTTGATATAATACCTTTTAAAACTGATTTGAATTCATAATTGTATTTACTTGAGATCGGTCAGTTCACTTTTTTCAATTTCACGAAAATTTCATATGCCTATGTATAAATATAGTTTAACAGTAGACAAAATATTTAATGGTGTATAGAAAATGATGATTATTTATTATTATAATTTCATATAACTACGGTCATTTGTTTTAGCGTTAGACCGATAAACAAAAAAATTTATGTCGATAACCAATTTTGCGAATCGAAATTCACGGTTTTATTTTTTTATTTTTTTTTCGTTTTCCCTGGCATTTTTGAAAACTACTGTGGATTTTAAATTTTGATCTCTCACGCAAATGCATCAACTAAATAAACTTTTTTTWAAATTATTAAGACAATTTCCAATCTGTATACAATATTATTACAACAAGTAACTTTGATATTTACAATTAAGATTAAAACGACATGAGTAACGTGTAGAGGAAAAACCCATAGGTAATATCTCTTTTACTAATTTAATAGGTTTCTACATMATTTTAGTTCAGTTAATCTATTTTTTTGGGAGGGTGACGGTGGACATGCGGGATATTAAAGTGTTGGTATGCGTTCTTAGATTTTGATGGAAGCGTTAGTACATTATTTTGGCTAGTTGAGTGGTAGTACTTATTTTTAAGTCGTTGTGGAGAAATACATTTGAAACATATCTCTGGGCTTGTGTTAGTAGCCTCGGTGCTTAAATTAACTTAACTATTGAAAAAGATACTGAAGTTAAAAATGGAAGCATTTCGACTACTATTCGGAGTAAACAAACACAAACAAATTCTTACTACATTAATAGTTACAAAGTTTTTTTTTTTTTTTTTTTTTTTTTT